TTTATATGTTCCTTTGTGTTAGTTTTCCTTTATCGTTCATGTTCAGTTTATTATTCGCTTAAAATCCCTGAACCTGCGTTCTTGTGGATACTTTTAACTACCTGGCAGATATCAGTGGTGCAATACAGCACAATTTCCGATGTAAAAAAAACAAAACATAATCATCGTGGGCCCCTTGACACCTTGTGTTCATAGCCAACTGCTCAAGAACATAGGCAGCATTATGGGAAGGGCCCGGCATGGCCAGGTGGTTAGGGCGCTCAACTCACAACCTGAGGGTCGCGGGTTCGAATCCTCGTCCCACCAAACATGCTCGCCCTTTCAGCCGTGGGGGCATTATAATGTGACAGTCAATCCCACTATTCGTTGGTAAAAGAGTAGCCCAAAAGTTGGCGGTGGGTAGTGATGACTAGCTGCCTTCCCTCTAGTCTTACACTGCTAAATTAGTGACGGCTAGCGCAGATAGCCCTCGTGTAGCTTTGCGCGAAATTCAAAACAAACATTATGGGAGTTTTTTGAATACGCAAAGAATTTAAACGATTTATGTGAAGGTTAATTGTCCATTCAACAAAGAAAATCATATGATAGTGGACTTTTTATAATAGTGGGAGTGATTTTTTGATACCCCTTTCCCTCCACTGGCTATGCTCCTGTAGTTTAGTTAATCCAGCTCTGTATGCGCTGATTTATACTCTGACAATGAAATCACTGATATTAAAAAAAGAATATACAAATTCCTAAAAATTCACTATTTGTTTTTGTTTGTTTGAAGTTAAGTACAAAGCTACACAATGGGCTATCTGTACTCTGCCCACCACGAGTATCGAAACCTGGTTTCTAGCGTTGTAATCACTATTTGTGAAATACTCTTGGATAAGTGTAGCTAATATTCCAATGTGTTTGGAAAAAAGCCTCATGTTTGAGTCCTAAACAAGTTATTTATAATTTTTAACGTTTTCGACTCATAAAAACAATCTGATTGCCCTGTCAACTGGACAATAAAAAGCAAAACTAAAGTAAACATAAATCGTAAAATTTTAGCTTGATTGAAAATATAAACCAATGAGAGCACTTTTATTTGTATTAGCGCCCGTAAAAATGTAGCTCGTGAATTCAACTGAAGAACTAAGTGATATATTTTCGACAAGCGTACTTCACATACATTTCTATTAATTATAATTGTACTCCAAATAATATCTGATTGTGTGCGAAAATTACTCACCCTCAACTAATTAAAACAACAATTTATTGTCAATTCTTAAAAAGAAATCTGGAACATTTTGCCGAGAAATTTTACGATTATTTTTCATGTTTTGATAATCGAAATGATCGCTCATAAACAATTTTAGAGAACGAACAATATTGTCTTACGTCAGCTGTTTTTTATTTTTTTAAATACGTGATTTAACAATTGATCATTACTTAATCAGCGATTAAAATTCAAATCTTCGTCAAGATATATGCTTTTTGTTACATATATTAAACTTCCTTTTCGTATTAGTTGTGTTACCGGAGAACTACAGCTACATTTTTAATTACTTGAGCTTGGAAACCAAAATTCACAAAGCTATATTGTTGTAGAGAGCTGAATAATTTATCAATTGAAATGTATATATGTGTGTGTGTAATCTTGTATGGAACGTTATTTAGTACATTCACACTGACAAGAATGTTAGACTAAATTTGTACGAGTTTGTTATTCCACCCACGTATACTTTAAACTGTTTGTTTGTTTTTGAATTTCGCGCAAAGCTACACGAGGGCTATCTGCGCTAGCCGTCCCTAATTTAGCAGTGTAAGACTAGAGGGAAGGCAGCTAGTCATCACCACCCACCTCCAACTCTTGGGCTACTGTTTTACCAACTGATAGTGGGATTGACTGTCATATTATAACGCCCCCACGGCTGAAAGGGCGAGCATGTTTGGTGTGACGGGGATTCGAACCCGCGACCCACAGATTGCAAATCGAGTGCCCTAATCACCTGGCCATGCCGGGCCACTTCAAACTGCCTGGCGTCGTTAATTTGAAAACTGAATATTGTGATGTCTAGAGGCAAGGGCGTTCCTCTCTAAAATATACTTGTGTTCGTAAACTAATATAGTATAATAGATTACCCTTTCATCTGTCCAAATAAAGTAAATAATTATAATGTGAAGTTATACTGAATGTATAAGTTTTTATGCACCCGCTTCAGATTTGGCGTTTTGTGTGTGTGTGTGTGTGTGCTTTTTATTATAAATAATTACTATTAAATCGTTACATCAATAGAGCTATCATTAGTTCTTGATACTAGCCCTGATTGGTATCGCTACACATGTACGAAAATGGTAAGAAATAGTTAGTAGTATTCTTTGTAAAAGTTGAAGTATTTATTTAACTTCATTTTAACCAGAAAAGATTATGAAACTATATCTTGAAATGTTATGAATATTACCCATATTATCTAATTAATTATGACAATAAAACTGACTTTGTAAGTTACATATTTGATATTTTTATGTGGGTGTTTGTTTGCTAGAGAGCGCGGGACACGATATCTAAAAAGTTCATGATAGTTAAATATATGGAAATTAATTCGAACTGAGACTGATGTGCCTCCTATAATACCTTTCCATCATATTTTACTGATTTCTCGATTGGGCGATGTTGTTAAACTGACTAGCAAAATGCTGGAATTAATTTCGTAATGTCATGGCCAGAGTAGTTCAGGAAGGTCCTGCGGTCAGAGATGGCATAGCAATAATAGTAACAGGTGTAGACAAAATAGATTCCCCTATTCCATGTTTACTAGTAAATGGTGTTTTAGGTTGGAACTCTTGGGCAGATGCAGAAAAAGTTTGGATTTACAGATTCATTTTTTAAATGTTTTAATCTGTCATTGATATATTTTTGAATTTCTTCGATTTTGTCATTAAAACCCCACTGTTCTTTGTTGATGTCTTTTTGTACTTCATCAGTCATTACAGCCTCTCTGCGCTTTGATGATGTCTTTCTGCAGTTTTTCAGACTAGTTTGTTATGATCCTCCTGTAAGTCCAATAACCAATAGCTTCGTAGATTTCGTTTTCAGTCAGATTTATATTTGTTTGTAATTCTTCTTTAAATATTAATTTATTTCTTTAACTGCTCTCCCAAATTCCCATCTCTTACGTAATTTTTTGTCTTCTTTCACTTTCATGAAAAACTCTTCTTGGTTTTATTTCTATCTCATTCTTCTAATTTTCCGTTTTTTTTCTTCTTCTTTTAATTTTTGTCTTTTTACTCTTATCTTTCTATTAATTGTTTCATTATCACCAGCGAATTTTCAATCTCGTTGTGTCATCGCTTTGTCTTCTTGAAATTCGGCCAATTGTTTGTTTTTGAATTTCGCGCATAGCTACACGAAGGCTATCTGCACTAGCCGTTCCTAATTTAGCAGTGTAAGACTAGAGGGAAGGCAGCTAGTCATCATCCCCCACCGCCAACTCTTGGGCTACTTTTTTACCAACGAATAGTGGGATTGACCGTCACATTATAACGCCCCACGGCTGAAAGGGCGAGCATGTTTGGTGGGAAGGGGATTCGAACCCGCGACCCACAGATTGCGAGTCAAGTGCCCTCACCACCTAGCCAATCCGGATCCGAAATTCGGTCAAATTTCTATTCTATTTCACCAAAATAACCTCACTTCCAACATGAGTGTTATAACGTATGTTATCGTTGGGTGGATTCTTTTGAGTTATTGGTTAAAAATAACTACAGATCCAGTCGACGTAACGATAACGAATTAATTTATTTCTTCGTTTGTTACAGGCTACGTTCACTTTGACACAAGTTGTAGCCTAAGTTCAGAAACAACGTTCCAATAGAAACCATGATCATGATAGTAAGTATGCTTAACTTGCAAAAAACAAAAATTCTGTCACCACAAGAACTGAACTGAATCACTCATTAAGTCATCAACTAAATGCTTCAGTGAGTCTCGTATTATGTCACACTTTTGTTTCCACATGTCTCACGAAATTTCCAGATTATTAACTCCCATGAGCTTTTCTAGATATTATGTCCCCAGTGGATCAGCTGTAAATCTGAGGGCTCACACCGCTAAAAACCGGGTTGTGTGTAGCCCATTGTGTAGTTTTGTGCTTAATAACAAATAAATAAACACAGATTTTGTGTTATGAGCCCTCTAACAAACAAACATCAAAAGTTTAAAAATATAGCTTAAAACACTATAAAAGGGTGGTACAGATCGTATTTTACATGATAAACTGAAACGTTGTTTAAACCTAGTAGCAGATCTATATTGAATTTATAATGTATGAAAAGTAGAAGTAAAAGAGTGGGAACACAATTTCCTGCAACATAAAAATATTTCTTCTCAACATCACATGGCCTGGTGGCTAGAGTGCTCGACTGGCAAATCAACAGGTTGCGGGTTCGAATCCCCGTCACCGAACCTGTTTGCCCTGTAGGGTTGCTGTTAACGCTAGCCACCAGAGGTTAAAAGTTCTTGGCTAATACAAAATATCCGAGCAGCTAACCCCAAATCTAGCTGAGATTAAGATCGAACGAAAAAGGAGTTAAACATTTGTTGGTGGTGATTTAAGATACAGATTAAATATTTATTTGCTTTGAAAAATTGTTTTTTTGGATTGATTATTAAATTGTTGCTTGGTAGTTTTATTTGTTCGAAATTTTGTTTATAAAGTATATAGTTCGATTCTATGACGTTTTAATTCCCCACGGTGGTCTTGACAGCATCCAGGCTGATTAACAACCAAAACGTTGGAAAAAATGCAACTGGTAATTAGTGACTAAAATTATAAAAAAAAAAGACCTCAATAGGCTACTTACCATAACAAAGATTGGTATCTTATCGCCACAGTCTTACTGTAAATACTTAAGAGTTTAATAAATTAAAAAAGATACTTACAACCTACTTTACGCATTCAATTACAAGTAACGTAAAAGCTTTAATTATGATATTTCCGTACGTTTTTTATTATTTTTTTTAAAATATTACAGTTATGGATACACTTTTTACGTTTATTACCAAAGTATTACGCTATATTCTGCACTCCATAATAAACAAAATCATTTTGGTCTCAAATAAATGTTAACCAATTCATAAAAAATTAAATCCAAATGACTCAGAAATTCAACAATACAAACGGACATGGGTTCGTCTTTTTTTCATAGCTTAACACCTGCATGACCTACTCATCTGAGCAATGTGCAAGTCTCAGGTACATTCTAGTTTTTAGAAGTATGAAAATCTCAACGCGATTTGTTAAAGAAGACGCGGACGGTTTCCAAACAATGTTGGTCGTTTTCTTTTCCTAAAAAGACCTGAAAATCTGCTATTCTCTGTTGTAGTGGTTATTGGGTCCTCTGATATTTGAGGTTCTTCGTCTTCCTCAACATCATATTCATCTTCATTACTGCTGAGTAAAGTGTCAGTGGTCGTGGTAGTTTCAACTTCCTCTGACAAAGACGTAACAGTCGTTTTATCAGCTATTTTAGGAGTTGAGGATTTTTTTTCTTCATCCACTGCTTCAACGTCGTCTTCTTCGGGTTCTTTTTCTACTTTACTACCTCGCCTAAGACCGCTTCGTCCTCGTCGTAAAAAGGAAAGACGAGATCTAGTGTTGGAACGACCAAAGATACTACTTGAACGAACACGAGAAACTGCAGTTGTTGTCTTGACTGTCGTACTTTCATCGTTTGATGTAGATTCAGGACTGACTGTTATAGAAGAAGACTTTCTTCGACTGCTTCCAAAACGTCGCGAACTCCTAAGACTTCCAAAACGTCGTCGTGCCGTGGGTCGAGAAGATTCTGTTACGGCTGTAGTTGAGGTTGTCGTTGTTTCTTTCTCTGTACTTTTCTCCTCAATTTTGCCATTTTCTTCATCCTTTTTCTTGTCACTGTCGTTATTTGATCCTCTGAAACGACTTCTTCTAAATGAAGGCCTTTGACGATTAAATCCTACATTCCTTCTTCTGTTTCCCAAACGAGATCGCAACCTCGATCTTCTAGAAGTTGTAGATGTAATTGTAGTAGTAGAGACTGTTGTGCTTTCTTCTTTTTCTGTATCTTCTTCTGGTGCTTCTGTTTTTACAACTTTTGTTGTAGTTAAGTCTATTACTGGTGGTCTACGTGATCTAACATACCCCGGTGGCCTTCTCGACCCAAAGCGTCGACGATTACTGAAACGACTTGGAACACTTACTGTAGTTGTTATAGGTTCTTGTGTTGTTGTAGATTCTGTTGTCTTTGTGACTTCTATTTCAATAGTTGGATCCTTTCTTGTCAGTGGCTCAGTTTGAGCCTCGACGATTTCATTGATCTCAGCTCCTGAGTTGCTGTCGTTCACAGAACTAAATAAGTCTGATTTGGAGGATGGGTCATCTTCTGAAAAGGTAGTAGTGGAATGATCTTGAATATTAGAATTCACTGATAAGTTATCTTCTTTATCTTCAACAGAAACGTCAGTAACTATTGTTGGCTTCTGATTTTTGGTAGAATGATCAACCAAGTCTGGGGTTACAGGAAAACGTGAAACGTCGTTTCCATAGCGATATACATTAGATATCGGAGCAATAGGCAAAACAGGGTCTTTTACAGGTTTGGAAGAAACATCAGCGTTTTTGGACTGTGCAGAGTTGTTTAAAGATAACGTTCCTGGCTGACCTGAGCGGTCTTTAGATAAGGAAGTGTCTGAAAACGCATTGCTAATGACGTTATTTGGAACATTTCCTCTTTGGCCAACTCTTCTTACGTCTTTTTTAACATTGGTAGTTTCAGTTTTTGATTCGTCGAAATTTTCCAGGTTGGGAATGTCATCAAATTTTAAAGAGGGACTTGTTTTATTGTTTGGTTCGTCATCATCATCATAGTAATAATAATAGTAAACCACATAGGCATCGTCATTGTTGTCTCTGTCACTTGCTGGACCTCCCTTATCGTATTCGATTTCTGATGCAGGAGCCTTTTGGATCACAGATTGTACTTGAGATTGAACAGAACCTAGTAGCTTTTCTTGGAAGATTGCATCTGTGGTTGGAGAAGATAGAAATGCATGTGAATCGTGAGAGTTTTGAGTAACTGGTGATGATGGTGCCTTTTGGCTCTCAGTTGGGTTAATTACAACAGGTTGGCCATTGACGAATATCACTTGGGAAGTTTTCTTATGCTGGGTGTCGTCAGCTTTGTCTGAGCCGCTGGACAGGAGAGATTCGACTTTGAGATATTTGCGTTGCAATGAATGAGAAGTTTGTGGTATTTGACTTTGTTCTGAACGAAACTGTGTGTGAGATGATAAAGTCTGTGCTGGAATAGGAAGTTGGTAATGATTTTGTTGTGATTGGGTCAAAACCTGATGCTGAGATTTAGGGGAAAGTGGAGCTTGTATCTTAGAGTAGCTCTGAGGGGAAAGTGTGTGATGAATCTGATACTTGGATTGATTCTGATGTGACTGTACTTGTGGTGTCAGAGGCAATTGAGATTTAAGTATTTGAGTAGAAAATTGGTGTTGCGATTGACTGTTCGGTTCTTGATGTTCTAATTGAATAGATGCCTTAGAAAATGAAAGGCTACTCAATTGAACGTTAGAAGATTGTTCTAGTTTTTTTCTCTGAAAATGAGGAACCAAAGGCAACTGATACTTAGGCAAAGAAGATTCGGTTAGTCCTTTCTGTTGATCTAACTTCTTCAGAGAAAGTTTGGGCGGCTGATTTGGCTCTCCAACAAAAGATAACGAATGATGGTTTTTGTTACTCGGCAATGGTTTGACATAAACACTGTATTTTTCTGGAAGCGGAGGTGATGACTGTCTTCGATGTAGTACATGTTGTTCACTAGCACCAAAGTGAACGACAACCATCAACAATGCCGCCAAAGATGACCTGCATAAAATATACACTTTATTAAGACACAATCCATAACATCACAATTACCTTCCACAATATTAATTCTATTTTTTTATTTTACACATAAAAACGTATTCTTGTGTAAAAAGTTTAAATGCTACAAGCTTCAGGCAAGGTTAAGATGTTTTGGTTGATATTTCTTAAAACTTCCCATTATAATTTATGGAAATCGTGAGAGTTTTGATTAATTGGTGGGTTTTGACTCTCCGTTGGGTTAAGTGATAAATTCGATGATGTATGCATATTTCTAATAATCTCAAATAACAAAAATAAAAACATAAAAGCTTGTCTGTGTGTTTTCCTTTTGTTTTTAATAAACATAGCTAATGTTTGTAAAATGTTATGTGCTATTATTTGTGTTTAACATACCCTCTGTTAAAAAGGGCGTAGGTCGACTTTTGATAGAATTTGGATTTTGGAACTGGCGAACCGGGCTCGAATCCGTATGATGCTATAAAATATTTATCGCACTTTAAGCTGTAGATGTGTTCTAAAAGTGATGGTCAATCCCTTTACATGGATTGTTGGTGCCATTAAGTAATAGGGTGCTGCTGACTGGCTGTCTTCCCTTTGGTCAGAAGCTCAGTAATAGGGACGGCAGTTAATCTCAGTAGCTTTGCCATAAATATAAAAATACAAATTCCATATAAAACAAATGTTCCTGGGGAACGTGCACATGCTACCACAATATTTTGTCGTAAAGTTAGGTAATTTTTAACTTCGACTTGATGTATCTCTACATTAATTGCATGATCGTAAAACTGTTTCTGAAGCTATCTGTAGGAAGAAATGATATTTGAATGCGCAAAGAAATAATACGAAATTTGTATCTGTATTTTGTTTTAAGTGTAGTATGCCTTATATAGATTGACGAATTTAGATTTTCATGCAGAAAATATGTGAAAAAGGAAAGAAACGCGTGATGAATTACTACGATATAGTCCCTCAATGGATACGCAGTAAGTTTGCTGAATTCCAACGCTAAAATCTGGCGTTAGATTCCTTGCGATGGATAAAGCTCAGATAGCCCATTGTGAAGACTTTATACTAACAAAAAGAACATAACATGATATAACGAGTCATATTTTCGTTTAATGTTTTATTTTATTATTATGGGATAGAAATACTTGCCATGGGAAGTGTGAGCCCTATAAATTTACTTTTGTTTTACAAATTTAGTATTGTAGGTATTATACAATTATGCCCAATGTGCACAAGTATGTAATTAAACCAAACTATTGTTTCAACAGATGGCGCTGTTTAAGTCAAATGTCCCAACCAACTTTTTTTTTTTTTTTTTTTGCTTTAGGAAGCATATGGTTTGGGAATAAGAACAGGTGTTAATTTGTCCTTGGTACCGTACGTAAGCTCAACACAACGAGAAGCAGTGAAACTGGAAAATCCTCTTTGAGCACACAGTTTCAATAATAACAGAAAATGTAGGTCAGACAAGTTGCCTACGATGCTTCCGGCATCGCATTCTTCTTCTATAAAACATACAGCAAATAAAACAAAACACATAAGCCACTCTTTTGTGAGTGAAGCATCAAAACGTCCTGTACGTGCGAGCGAGCTCTATATAGGTTAACTGCATGCAGGAGACCTGGATATTTCGATAGTCGTGTCACGACTACAAACCTGACTTCACTGCCCTTTCTAGCCTCTGTTTCTAACAAAATACTCCCTTCTGTTAAAGAGGAATGATTCGTAACGGGGTTTGGGGTGAAGAATAGTCAAAGGTCATTAAATTTTTTTTGTTGTTGTTTCTACCTGGCACAATTTCTTCCTGAAAGACGGGATGAGAAATATACCTCTTTTTATTAGAAGGTGAGGTCAATGTCCACAGCTGTGAAATAGGTAGGTGAAACGTGTTTATGTTTGCAAAGTGACCACTTTCTCGTCTTTAGTGCTTCACTTAGTGTAGTGAAAGTGAGAGCCGGATACCACGACCCATTTACTTCACCTGGAACACATCAGGAATAATGCAAACTATTCTCTAGGTGTCTATTGGAACTTGTTGTTTGTTGTCTAATAAAAAATTTGCATGACCATTTCGTCACTTCATTATCTGTTATGAAAACTGTCTGTGCCAAATAATTATTAAAGTTTTCAAATATAGATAATTAGCTATAAATATGTAGCAATGCTTTTCAGAAACATGCTGTGACTGTTTGTTAACTGTGGTTACACACAAAATTGAATATGTTTGATATGGCTTTATATACATAAACAGAAATTGGATCCAGCAGCTCAAGGACTGGGCGTGACTTAGTAGTTATGTGCCCGGACTGTGTATTCAAGCGTTTAGGGTTCGCGGCCCGTTACTACAAAAACTTCGCACTTCGAGACCACGAGTGCGCTATAATGTTGATATTAAAATCTCACTATTTGGTCAGATAAGAGTAGCCCAAAAGTTGACGGTAGATGCTGTTGAATGGCTGCCTTCCCTATATTCTGTTTGTTCAAAATTAGGGAAGTCTATTTGCAGATAGCCCTATGTATTCGGTCAGATAAAAGTAGCCCAAGAGTTGACGGTAGATGCTGTTGAATGGCTACCCTCTCTCTATTCTATTTGTTCAAAATTAAGGACGTTTATTTGCAGATAGCCTTATATATAGCTTTGCACGAACAGACAAGGAACTGCTGTACCAAACTGTACCACAGAGAGAGAGTTTGTATATATATATGTATATGCGGCATACTTACTGGTCGCAGCTATACTTTGGAGCGCAGTGGGCCAAATACTTTCGTGTTGGTTATAAGTACTATTGGTCACTGATGGTGAGTGTCAGTTAAAAACTGGAACAAAATGGGATATTAAAACTATAGTCCAGCTCTTTTTTGTGAAATGGACAGATGTATATCAAACTTTAAAACTTTGTTAGATGGCTTATTCTCAATGAGATGTATGGGTAAGAGTTTCTAGAGTGAATTGATGTTTCTTGGCTAACTTTTGTTGTTTTCATTGTGCTTTAGCGAGATACTCTGTTTGTTTGAAGTTAAGCACAAAGCTATACAACGGGATATCCGTGCTCTGCCCGCCACGGGTATCGAAACCCGGTTTCTAGCGTTGTAAGTCCGCAGACATACAGCTGTGCCACTGGGGGGGGGGAGAGCACAGATAGCCCATTGTGTAGCTTTGTGCATAACTTAAAACAAATAAACAAACACACAAACCTTATAGTTCAACGGTTATTAACTATATTCACTGCATCAATAATCAAAGCTATTAGTAAGGTGTAATCTTTTAAAGTTGACATGGCATACACTTCTCACATGTAAAAATGGAATAAAGTATCAACATTTAAGCTTATTTACTAAATGTTTAGATTTTTAGAAGTGGTATTTTATAATTGCTAGGAGCAATAATTTAAAAATACACAGAAGTTAAACTCATGTTTCTGTAACAAATCAAAATACAGTACAAAGAAAACACAAGATTATTTGAAATTTAACAACCGGAACAAGTGTTTTAATCTGAAGTTTTCGTGTATTGTTTTTGCTTGTGGTATAGGAGTGGGCAACATTTCGACCTCTTTGCTGAGGCCTTTATCAAATGGCGGTTGTTGTTTTTTCGTCTAAATTGAGCTTTTTCATATAGAAATAAATTGAAATTGATGAAATATTTATAAGTAAGAGTGATGTGAACAGAGAGTGTGGCCAGGTGGGCTCAAGCCCCTGTCTTCCTGCCCTTATGCCCCCCAAATTTCCTTTCTTTCTATCATACAAACTGTCAACAACTACGAGAAGATATAGCTGATTCCACATCTTACTTGCTGCTTGTTATTAGGGGAAAATATTTCTGCTGTAAAATGAATGGAACATAAGGACTTCTAGAGCTTCACAGTAAAAACAAATTACGATATTCTGTTAAGCGTTAATAAGCAAGATTTCACTGTTGTGTTTTAGATCATAAAAGTTAGAAATAAAAAGAAGATCTGTTTGCTTCTTATGGCTTTTTATCTTACGTGTACTAGAAGCAACCTCCAATCCCTATAGTAGTCTCCTCTTACAGCTCCCCCCCCAAAAAAAAAGAACAACAACAAACGGTTACCTAACGATGCTTGAAAAGTGTCCGTTTTGTCAATAAGCCCTTGCCCTTTTAGTGACTTTTTCACATTACTGATAAATAGTTCTGTCTGCATTATATATTTTGTTTATTATGGTTATACTGTTAATGCAAGGAGTTCTCGGTCATCCATTCCGTAGTTTGAAAAATTAAATAAATTAATCATTTATCCCTTGACTTTTCAAAAAATTCACTTGCTAATCGCCAACAAGTAACGGTAAAAAAATAAGAAAGTAATAGATGTCACAGCCAGAGATTTTCCAAGTTTGACGTAAGTAATGTCAGTCACTGGTTAAACTGGGGCGATATTCCCCTGTATACATATTGGTCAGAAAATAAAATGGCGGTATGATATAACTGCAATAAATAATACATAATGTAAAAGTGTTATACTGTTGCAAAAAACACACCATATTTTTTGGTTTCACACCAAAATACGTTTGGCTTTAGTGTTCCTTCAATTATGACGTGCGTATGTTTCCCCCCAAGTCACTGCCTTTATCCTCCGAGGAAAAAAAACTTGTCCCTCCCACATGTTTTATCTGGAATCAGCCATCTTCTATTTTAACAGTCTTAGCAGTGAAAAACAAAACAAAACACAAACAGAATTTTCCAGTTATGAAATTATACTTGTGTGCTAATTTACTTTTTTGCGCTGTGTGTCACCTTTGACATCTTTGGCTTTTGACAGTTAATGAACTGATTTCACACTCTTGTTCAATCTGCAGTCCAAAATTTGTAGTTGTTATAGTTTAACGAATCGAAATGATGTAACCATCGTAAATTTTCATATTCGAATTTCTAGATAGTACAAGATAAGACGTTAAAGAATTTGTCCGCAATATTATAATATTTAAAAATCTTCAGTTTTGAAGAACATTACTTATAAAAGAGGGTTGTAATTACC